CCTCACTGATTACACTGTAAATGATAATCTACCTTAACCAAAATCAAAGTAGACTATCACTCACCCACACCAGATGGAAAACTCTACAGACTGTCGGTTCACACCCCATCACAAGCCAGCAAAACATCCACGAAACAAAGAAAGGTTTGTCACAGCCAAAAAATACACTCCAGACACGCCGCTGGAACTAGAGGCACAGCATGGCCGCCTAGTAACGGCCCCGACCACTGCCGCTCGACCTGACCGGATATATAGTTAAGTTATGTGACGATATATAGTTATGTGACGATATATAGTTATGTGACAATATATATACATTGGTGAAACTCCGACGAAACAGTTTGTCACAGCCTCTCGTTTGTTGTCCTCTTCTCTCTCTCTGCCTACGGTTTACCGGGCAGTTCTATTTGTGACGATATATAATATATACATAAACAGGGGGAGTTGTAAGGAAGAATAAAAGTGAATTGAGTTTTTCTTGATTCTGTTTTTCGCTTTGGCGCTCTGATATCGTGTGACAATATATACATAATATAATAAAAAATTATATATATATATTCAGCCTCCTGATGAGTCAGTGAAACTCCGACGAAACAGTTTGTCACAGCCCCTCGTTTGTTGTCCTCTTCTCCCTCTCTGCCTACGGTTTACCGGGCAGTTCTATTTGACGATATATATATATATATATATTTTTTTTTTGGCCTGGCTGGGCAAGCGCTCCCAGACCACTCTGGTAGCCTAGGTGCTGGGAGGCTTCAGGGGACCAAAAAACAAAAGGCTCCAGAGGGCCAGAATATCCTGGGAATGGATGGACGGGGAATTCATTATGCGTGTCTCGTGTTGGATTTATCAGTTCTGTGTCACGGCCTGTGCGATTCTGACACCATCGTTTTTAAAATATTTGGTGTGCAAATGCCATGCGTTGCTTTTGTCCCATGGCAGTGGCCCATGTATCCACCAACCTACATGGTGACTTTATTTTTTTCAGCTTCCGGATGCCCATTTTAAAATTGGAACCATACCGACAAACTCTGAGAAAGAGAAGATTAGCATGTTGCCTGCGGAATTAAGGATGGCACACATTATTAAGATTAGCATGTTGCCTGCGGAATCAAGGATGGCACACATTAATAAGAAAAATGGTTCGAATTTTCAAAAATGATTTGAAGACTTGAAATTTGAAAAGATAAAAGAAGGTTTGCGTGCTCCAACTGTGCATCTGACACCATCGTTTTTATATGGCGTGATTTGCGATGTTGTTGTTTGGTCGTCTTTGGTGCCTGTGGGACCAGATCCGACTTACATGGTGAGGGCAGTCCCTAGCAACGCTTCGGACAGTGTGTACTGCACCCTTCTGGCACACAGCGCTGTACATGGAGCCATGGCAGGCTACACTGGATTTGTTGCAGGACCGGTCAATGGAAGGCATGCATACATTCCTATTGGAGTAAGTTTCATTGTTTTTCTGGACCCATGATGAACCAATCTGCCCACTGAGCCGTCGTCCAGTCTTATCCAGTCTTATCCAGTCTTATCCAGCCTTATCCAGTTTTATTCTGTCTTATCCAGTCTTATCCAGTGTTGTCCATTTATTTATTTCAAATTATTTGTCAATTTTTTTTTTTTGAATTTTGTCCATTTGTCATTTATCCAGTGTTTTCCATTTAGGGGTATTGTTTTACTATTTTAGGATTTCGTTCATTTATCCATTTTATCCATGTGTCCTCTGTTATGTGCCTATCCAGTGTTATCCATTTATTCATTGATTGTTTAATAATATTTAATATGTTTATCCATTTATATGCTTATGATGTTTTATCCATTTAATGTGTTACCAGCCAGACGGCCCGGGTTGCCTCAGATTGGCCCGCGTGGCCTGGACGGACCAGGTCCGGGCAAAGTCCTGGTCAAGGTCCCGGGTAGTCCCAGTGGGAAAAAAATAATAAAAAATGTTTAAAAATCTTAAACAAATTAAAAAAAATAATAAAAAAAATTGTCATGCAGAATTGCAAACCAAACATCAGGCAATCTTTTGCCTGAGGGTGGCCACAAAACTTGCGATGGAATTCAAAATAAAAAATGAAAATAAAATACTAAGTCTAAAATTATAGCATACCCCTTTATGCCCCTTCGAGCTGGCCTTTTGAACCCGCGACTTTACCCCACAGACACCCTTTGGCAAGGCCAAATTGGCCATGTCACAGTAGGAGTAAAAAGCTTTGAAAACATATATGCAAATTTCCCTAAGCCACTGCCCAAAAAGCAAAACTGAAAAAAGATCGACTCCCTTTTTGGTGTTGCCCGGGGAACTCTGTTAACATAGGTTTTATCCACATTCATCCATTGGCATTTAATATTTATTCATTTATCCGTTTAAATACGGCAAACGTAGGTTTTATCCACATTCATCCAGTGTGGCATTTATCCATTTATCCGTTTAAATACGGCGTGTATCCGTCTATCCATTTATCCAGTGTTAACTGTTTTATGCATCTACCTATTTTTTTCTCGATTTATGCGTGTCATCCTTGTTCATGGGCCATGCTAATCTTCTCTGTATTGTTCCGATTTTAATGGATGTTCCAAAGGATGGCATTTACCCATTTATTATATGTCCAGTCACTCCAGTGTTAACCATTTTGGCATTTTCCCATTTGTTATTTATCCAGTCACTTCCAGTGCTACCCATTTATCCATTGTTATCCGCCTACGAATCCATCACCCAGTGTTGTCCATTTACCCGTTTATCCGATTTATCCAGTGTTATAGATATCTCCATTTCTCCATTTATCCATTTATCCATTTATCCATTTATTAATTTCTGCATTTGAACCATTTATCCAGTATTATCCGCCTACTGAGCCGTCATCCAGTGTTGTTGAATGTGGTCCCTCATCCAGTGTCATCCACCTACTGACTGATTCCTTATCCATTTATCTATTCATTACCCATGTCATGGCGGCTTACACTTCACTATGGTCCCTTGGTTTTGGTGTGACATTCCTTATCCGTTTATCTATTCATTACCCATGTATCTATTCATTACCCATGTCATGGCGGCTTCTCACTTCACTATGGTCCCTTGGTTTTGGTGTGACATCAAAAATTTACATCGCCCATTTACATTGCCGCAGCAGTGTAATGTGCTGAGTCTGCTGACCATAATGATTTCAACCAGGCTTCAGAAGCCGTCTGACCCGGAATGGAGTGGTTGTGACCACATGCGTTGAATTGTCGTTGTTGTCATCTCTTTAATGGCCTGCGCCAAGGATTCGATTCAGCTGCATGAACCGCCTAGTGGAAGGATAGCCCAGTTTGTCTTGTTGAGTTTATCTTCTCCTTCGCCACGTGTTGTGGCCGTAACTGTTTTGTAATTCATTTTTGTTTGTCTTTATCTGTTGCGGGAGTAATTGTTTTATCATCTTGTTGTGAAGGTCTTCCTGTTCGTCTTTGTCTACAAACGACTCTACGTGTACGTGTTATGTGTTTCTGTCTTTCTGTCTTTGGGCGTCTTTGGCTGTCTTTTTCCCTCCCCCCTCTGCCTCATCGTGTTTGCACGGGGGTTGATGATGAAGGGGCGCTGGGGTGGATTGACTATCACAGGCTTTTTAGGACTGGTGAAGAGTGCCAGGGATATAGCCACTGTTCAGCCGCAAATGAAGAAAAAGAAGAGTGCTAAGGATACAAGAGAAGGAACAAAAGACGAAAGGTCTGCGAACGCCGTGAGGATCCACAAAGCACTGCTGTCGGATGAATGCCTGTTTTTTTTTTTTTTTTAATGGTTGGCCACTGCGTTAATACTGTGCCAGTCGCGAGGATATTCTAAGAACAGTGTCAGAGAAAGGAGAGAGAAAATGAAGTGCGGCATCAGCTCATGCGCATTATAGGAGATTTGTCTCAACAGATTTCGGATTTCCCTTTCTTTTTTTTCCCCGAAAGGTCCTTACGGACCTGTCTCCTAACGCATTCTGGGGAATGTGAGTCCTGTTGTTAATCCCCCAGCTCACTTTTCTGTGCATGCCCACCGCAGCCGCTACCCTTGTGACAGTGTCCACAATTATCTACGTATGGCCTGACAGGCAGCTAACAGAAAACATTATTCATTCATTACGCCCTTCTCTTCCGGAACATCTACCACACTGCAACCTTATCCTTTTTTTTTTCCCTTCATTTTTTCTTTTTTTGATATTGGCTGGGAAGGCAATAGCAGCTCGGATATACGAGTGACAGGGAGAAGAGGTCATCCACGAAACCCTAGAACACTGAATCCCTTGTACCTACCAGTGACGGCAAGGACAGGACATTCAGACTAGGGGTGACACCCCAGTGATGCTATGTTCATGCAGCATCATGCTTGGAAAGCATGAACCTAGCCAGAGCAGATGGCGAGGTTCATGCTCTCCTAACACGACCATGGCAACAATACGGGATTCAGACTGAAGGTCATGCTGCACTAATGCCTCATGTTCACGTGTTCACACTTGGAAAGCACGAACAAATATGGAGCAGATGGCCACGTTCATGCTGTCCTTGCATCACCATGCCACCAATGGGGCCTGGGCCTGAGTGTGAGGAGGAGGCCCTAGGCAATATTAAAGTTTGAATTGACGAACATGCCTCTGGGAGAGCGCTCCGGCACATGTATTTGACCAGGTGGATGGACCAAGTGCATTTGGCCTACAGCTAGCCATGAGGTATGCTTATCTGACTGCCGAAGGGTGGTGGCTACCGTGGTGCTTACTTCTGACGGGGGGGAATTGACATCTGCAGTTGGAGCGATTGATGGGTGCTGTGATTCCTGTGAAGTGTTTGGGCATCATGTGAAACCTAATATGTATGGGAATAATCTCCCTGTCTTTGTGATGTGTGATTTGCAGTGTGTCACGGAGACGCAGAACCGGGTCAATGTGCACGACAGGATGTGGGCGCGGCTTTTGTCATCCACCAACCAGCCCGATTTTATGCGATATAAGCAGATACTGGATGAGAAGAGACGGCTGCGAGAATGTGAGGCTGGGCGGCTGGAGCGATGCTTGCAGACTGCAGCCACTGCTGCTGCCGCTGCTTCGGAGAAAGTTGATGATGGCAATGAAAACAGCAGCGGTGAGATTTCCGACACTGAAAATGGCAGTGGCAATGGCGTTGCCAGAATTTAGGATTACATGTTGGAAATGACAATACATGAAACATGAGGACAAGGCAAGAAGCGAAGGATGTAGTCGCCAGTTCCTCTTAGATCTGCTCAGTGTGTGCAGATTGAGGCGGATGGGAAAGAGCAGCTAGGTGATGCAGGCATGCGCATGCACACACGAGAGAGAGAGAGAGAGAGAGAGAGAGAGAGAGAGAGAGAGAGAGAGAGAGAGAGAGAGAATGGAGCAAGGAAAAGATCAGAGCCAAGGATGTAGTTGCCAGTTCCTCTTAGATCCACAGAGCGTGCGCGGCTTGAGACGGAGGGGAAAGAGCGACTAGAGGGTGCATGCATGCATGTACAAGAGAGAGAGAGAGAGAGAGAGAGAGAGAGAGAGAGAGAGAGAGAGAGAGAGAGAGAGAGAGAGAAGAGAGAGAGGATTGGTAGTGTGGAGCTCTGCTAGACAAGAGTCGCTGGAGTTGCCAAGGGGTAGGGTTAAGGAGAGGAAGCGAAAGGAGGGGGTAGGGGAGGTGATATAGATGATGGTGAGAGAAACATGCAGCAAGGTGAAGTAGGAAACTCGGGTTAGACCAGAGGAGGGGGTGGGTTGATGAAATTGTTTGGTGTAGGGCTCGGCCTGCAGCTCTCACTGTTGGTGGGTTGTTGGTCAAATTTCACTGTCGAAGACGGGGTGTGCTTTCAATGGAGGGTGGGTGGGTAAACTGAGGGCATGTTTGTTGTTTGTCCTCGTTATCGGGCACATCGTATAAGTTTCGACAACCGCTTGGCACTTCAGCAGCAAGAAGGAATGATGTGAGGTGAATAGTTTGTTGATGCTGCGCGGTCGCCTGTAGGTGGTGCTTTATGATGCAAGCGACGCACAGGCGAGGTTTTGATTGGATTGTGTAACGTAACTTGGTGCAAGTCGTGGCTGTGTCTTGAGCGTTTTTTTTCAAATCATGGGCCGTCCCAAGTCATGGGTGCGACTTCATTACTTTTTTGACGGTCTCTGCGAATAGCTCGTGTATTTGATCAGCAAGTAATTTTGTTATTCCCTGCCTCTGGGAACCTCTAAATCTGTCCGCAATGCGCTGGCTGATTCACAGAGGACAAAATTCCCCGGCCTCTTCACTGCATTTCACAGAGAGGGATCAAATGGCTCGTATGGGCTGCCCAGCAGGTAGGGAGCAGGGAGGGAAAGGACGAGCAGCCTTGAGTTGCGTTTGTCTCATGGCGTGTTGTTGGCAATCGATTCTGCGAAGTAATGGTAGGTAGTAGGCATGGTAGGATCGCCATGCCGTGGCTCGTACGGGCCGCCCAGCAGGTAGGGAGCAGGGAAAGGACGAGCAGTTTCACGAGTTGCGTTGTCCCGTGGCGTGTTGTTGTTAATCGATTCTGCGAAGTAATGGTACAGTTTCACGAGTTGCGTTGTCCCGTGGCGTGTTGTTGTTAATCGATTCTGCGAAGTAATGGTAGGTAATAGGCATGGTAGGATCGCTATGCAAGGAAACGAGTGCTGATGTTGCTAGCTTCGTGGAGACGGCAGCACAATCATTCCATCTTAGAGGAGGGGATGGAGTGACCGCCAGGTGGTTGTAGTGGAGTAGCTGATTTTAGCCTAACTTAGTTTGTAGAATGTTGTAGAATCATTACTAGAATGCGCTCTGGGTTTGTTACATTTCATTTGCTTGTTGTTTATGTACTGGAGGATTGACCGAATCAGCCTGAATGGTCAAAGCTTGTTGTTCTTCTGCTTCTGTGGCACTACTAAGAAGATAGAGAAGGGCGCCGATTCCGCCGAACGATGGATTTGGCGGATTTGGGGTATTTCGGGGGTTTGGGGGTTGAGAGAGTTCCAAGTCTTTCGAAGCATATGAAGCCCCTCACGTTGTTTTCTCTTGTCCTGTGGCTTTATCCACAGGTTTTGCCGAAGTGTGCAATTGCTGATTTTCACGATTGTGTTTCGAAACATTTGTGGACTATTGTCACACTTCCAGGAGGCTGCAGCTCCCTCGCCAAGTCAGAATAGAATGAGGTATGTTGCTTTGAGCGTTATGTTTACGATCTGACATGCATTTCTTCAGGGTGCATGGTGTGTGTTTTATAGCGTACTTTTCTTCGGAGTTAATGTGTGTTATGACAGATACTTTTCGGAGGAGATCGTGGTGATGATGTATGGGATGAGGTTCTCTGCTGATCACGGATGGACGAAAATAGTATTTATACTAGCTCTGTTCGTTTCTCTCGAACACGCTCGTCCCCTGATGATATCGCTACGGGCGGGGGATCGAACCGCTGCGTAAGGACTACGGAAGGATTGCATGGTGAATGCAATTCGGTCTTTGCATCGGCTTTTGTTCCTCACAAATACGAATATTTTCAGTTCGCGGATTGGGCGCTTTTATCCTCTCTCTCCATGGCGATCGTGAGCTGGGTTTTGCCATGGTCATGGCCCGCACGTTTGATGTGTCGTGCGTTTGTGTTCTTTTCGTCTACTCTCCCTGGTCTATTCTAGTGGCTGTCGTGTTTTGAAGATAGAATCTATGAACATGCTCCTTCAATGTTATTGGCTTTTCTAGGCGGTAGTCTGAATTCTTCCGTGTCACTTTCCCTATTTTTCTTATTCCACGGAACAGTGGCTAGTAGCTAGTCTGTGTTCAGAATCCTGATCAGTTTTTTGGTGTAGGGTACGTCATTGTGCTTAGGTGGGCCATTCTTTTTTTTTTTTTTTTTTTCAATGGGCCATTCTATGTTTTCTTTGGTGTGGTTCGCCGTTTCTACCAATTGGCTTGGTAGTAGGTAACTAAAATTTTCAATTTTGTGCATTTTTCAGAGGCAGAGAGGTGGAAAGCAGGTTGAGAAAAAAAACTGCACTTAAGACTGGATTTCAGGGAAAGGAAAAGACGCATTTGTCATTTGCATATTAATCAGGTAGGTACGTCGTTTATACTGATGGATTCCATGTACCTGCAGGTGATCTGGAAGGAAAGAATGCATTTTGTTCTTTAGATATCAAAATCAGGTAGGTACTTTGTTTATGGTGACGTGATGGATTCTATGAATCTGCAGGTGATCTGGAAGCTCATCTGTATCTTAAGGTCAGCGCACAGGCTGTATGACATCAGGACGTCTCCTGTGTTGCTGTATATATATCTCAAGCAGGCAGCAACAGGCATTAGCTAGAGAAAGCCTGTCCAATTTTCCGTCCTTTTGGATTATGGCCTTAGTTTCTGGCGTTATGGTTGTATCACATCTTTTCAATTTACTTTCGGATGGAATGACTTGCATAGGAAGGTCAATTCCTCGAACAGGTCTTCGGATTCTTAGTAGGATTCTTAGTATCTCTGTGTGCGTGACATGTATGAGGGGTGTGTGCGTGTTTGCGTGTATGTCTGCATGTGTGTGTGAGAGAGGAGAGAGAAAGAGATGTGTGTGTGTGTGTGTGTGTGTGTGTGTGTGTGTGTGTGTGTGTGTGTGTGTGTGTGTGTGTGTGTGTGTG